TGCCTGGCAGCTCCATGTCCAACATTCTCCTACCAATATACTCCCTCTCCCTCCTCTGAACATGTCCAAACCATCTTAATCTGGCCTCCCTGACTTTGTCCCCCAAACGTCCAACATGAGCTGTCCCTCTGATGTACTCGTTCCTAATCCTGTCCAACCTCGTCACTCCCAAAGAGAACCTCAACATCTTCAGCTCTGCGACCTCTAGCTCTGACTCCTGTCTCTTCCTCAGTGCCACTGTCTCTAAACCATACAGCATGGCCGCTCTCACCACTGTCTTGTACACAGTTACACTGAGTATAGCCCTTGAGAATCTCCAACACAGCAAGATGCAGAGAATGTTGCATGACAATACCAGCATAAATATAAGGCGATTCATTTTAAATGCCTTTTAAATGAATTTTAAAGGAATGTGGAACTATAAAGGCTTTTTAATATTTCATAACCAAATGCAGAAATAGTACCATCGTGCATGCAATTATTCTTGAGTCTGTCTTCAGAACCCCTTAAACATTCTTTGACACCCAACACCGGTTGCTCAACGTCCTCTAAGAAAAGCAAAAGTACAAATAAAACGCTAAAACTGGAGACTCCTTCCATAACCGTTAAATTAATGTTTCCTAAAATAAACCTTCACCGTCTCAATGATTACAATGTTTTTTTTTTTTTTTGTTAAATAACAACTCATTTTTAATCTGTTTTATTAGGCTTGGATTATGTGGAGTATCTGCCACACACGACCCTGTAAATGAGATGCAATTATATAAATTTTATCCTTGTTTATCCTCTTAGATTCAGTCTCAGTCCTGCAGTTTATATCTCGCCATTTATGCATATAACTGAATAGAAACAGGATTTTATTTTAGATCAGTTCTCTGGGGTAGGCTGATCAATACAGGTCTACAGAACATTTCTCACTTTCTCTCCCACAGCCAGGCATGTGAGATTCTGAATTATTCACAATGCTCTTATTTATTATCATGTACAAACACACTCTTTCCTCCCAAGTGAAGGTCTGTTTTTACCACTGCTATTTATATGTCCATGTTTTGCCCGAAAGCAGCGCAGGGGGAGAAATTGCCGTGACAAATTATAATGGGGCATGTCCCTTCAGAGAACACCAGGAGCCATTATCACAAACTTGACACCTCAGGTACCTCAGCATGTTACCACCAGCAAGGAAAAAGTCATAAACATCAACCAAGGCATCATGTTCACTTCTTCGTGTTCATCTCTTCTTTTGACACTACACATCGCTTTATTAAATCATTCATATGTAGACATGCTGAGATATTAACCATTCAAGCATTCAATGTTTTATGAGTTTTGGTGAGATGTTATGTGTTATGAAAGTAATAACTTGGAGGAAGGATACTTCTAATTCCATGTCATAAGACATATATCTTCATGGAATCCTATAAGATATGTGAGTTTAGCAGCTTAGACAGCTGCAGACAGAGTGAGATCCATATTTTTATGAGAAGCCCATAAATTATTTGTCTCCTAGCATTTTTCATTCATAACACAGTTACACCGATTATAGCCCTTGAGAATCTCCAACACCACAAGCTTGTAAAAAGATGCAGAGAATGTTGCTTGACAATACCAAGGTAAATATAAGGCAATTGTTCATAATAAAAGTTGAGAGTCAAGTAGAATAATAACACAAATGCTTAACTGCTTCCAAACTTTCATAAAAAGCAATACAAATTAAGCCTACTTTGATAAATGTAAACTCTTAACATGAATTCTATAAAGTTTTTTTTTTATAATAATTTATATTCATATTAAATGCCTCAGTGCAAAACAAATTTTAAAGGTAAGTGG